TTCAAGTATAAAGAAATATATATAAATATATAAACTTCATAAAATAGAGACCTAGTGATTCGACAAATATAACCAGCAGGGTTATCCAACCTCAATAACATTATTAATAATTCTGGAAAAATGACTAAATATTGTTAGAAAGAATAATATAAGACAAGAAATGATTTAACAATTGGATATAAAGATGAACCTGCATGAATCCATCCAATGACTTCTATTTTTCTAATAGTATTCTCACCCCACTCTATTGAATTACCAAGACAAACAAACATGTCTTTTAGCATTTTTGGTGGTTTGATTCCACTCTCTTTTAGAATTTTTGTATCATTTTCACCTTTGAAATATCTACCCGCTTCAGAGCAGCCATATTCCGTTCTACCTTTTTTAATGATTAACTAGAGTGACGACGAGTGGCAATAACCACTCCCATCATTCTTAAAACATTTACTTGGTGATATTTTCTGCTCTTCTTTTATTTTGCTTTGCTTGTACATTTTTCGAAGAGTTGTTATTTGATCGACGTGTACACATTAATTATTTATCTAATAGAGAGAGGTACACAATTTTTTATTTGTAAAAAATGTAATGAGTGATATGTATATTTTATTATTTATATAAATGTATATTGTTGAAATCAAAGCGTAGGGCAGAACTTGTAGTGTCTCTAGGTATTTATATTATTCTTGATAATAATAAATACGTAAGCCGAATCACTATAAACCGATTTTCGCTTTATAATTAAAAACATAATTAATAAAATTATCTTGTTAAGCCGAATTTAATATAATTTGATAACCCGAACTTAAGATTAGATTATATAGCAATTTTGTACGTCCTTGTATCCGTCTGTATTTGGTTTTTTAATATTAATATTAAAATTATTAGTCTCGGGACATTGCATAAACTACAGGGGGTCAAACGTAAACCCACTAACACTAATACTAATAAAATTTTTTTGATCAACACGGAATTTTATATGAAAAAATATCATGCTTTCGTGTACAAACTTGCCTGATTTAATCAATTGTTATTTGAATCATAAAAAACAACAAATATATGAAAAAACCTTTATTTTAATGTATTTTTGCCAGGGTAAACAAATAACTCTTTAAGAAAATCTTGACATGGACATTTGTTTGTTATATACAATGAAATTGGGCATTACACACATTAAATCATAGTGAATAGAGCGACCAATCAAATCGCAAAAAAGGGGCAGACATTAGAATTTTAGTAATATAGATGATAGATAATAAATGAAATAAAAATTTAAATGCCTCCAGCCAATCCTATTTGGACTCATTTCAATAAACTTGGTCAAGTATCAGGCTTTCAGCAACCTCGTGCACAATGCAAATATTGTAACTATGAAATAAATGCTTGCTTATATTCATGATAAGAAACAAAATCGATTAACACCAGATTGTATCCTAAAATTGGTATATATTTATAGTAATTATAAATTGCAAACACCACAAAAGACATTAGTGTGGAAAAGATTTTTCAATAAAATTTTATCCAATTCTTCTGACTCATTGAATGGGGATAATATTGAATTTATAGAAAATAATATGCAAAATCAAAATGAAAATGAAGAAAGTGAATATGAAGAAGGAAATGAAGAATTTGATGATTTTTATGATTCTGATGTAACTTACTAAGTTAGTGAAATAATAAATTTTTATAATAAAATTTTGTATTCTAATCACAACAATAAACATATATTTTATTACATCTAAGCTAAAATCATGAAGATAATTTTACGGTGGATGTTTTTTAAAAATTATTAATAATTTACTATGCGCACAATAAACTAAGGATTTCGCATTTTGCCCATCCTAAGTAAAAGGGATGATGTCAAGGAGGAAATTACAGAGATGCCAGTTCAAGTCTAATGTATAGTTATTCCTCCCGATTTTCAATAAACATTTCCCCTCAATTTGGTCAAGATCGTCAACGATTTTTGTTCTTCTGGTATTGAATGCATTAATTACAAGGCCTTTTATCTGATGTCTCCTGGAGTAGTATAACGAGGACAGAAGTAATTGATAAATTTTCTAAAATAAGAATTGTAAAGGACTGGAGATCACAAATCAACCATTAGGTAAAGTATTTAGTATGTTCATTTTGTTCTAGCTGACCAAAAGGATCCATCCTATCCGTGGTGGCTCTTTTTATATTTGCGGAATTGCGGACATTGCGGAATTTAAGATGATTCTCCACAATCTTGCGGCATTTTAATTGCAGTTCTCTTGAAGTTTAACAATTGAATAAACTACTACTAAAAAGCCTGAATTATTTAAAAAGCAATAACAAAAAATCTCTGGAAATAAAGCCCGAACGGTTCGACCTGGTTCGGTTTTTTCGGGTTACATTTGACCCAAAAATTTCAGACATCCTAAATTCGTTAACTACGCAAAAATATACATAATAATTGACAAAAAAATTATAATAACATTTAGCTTGATTTTGGCAAATGTGTGTTACGAAATAGAGATGCTGGAAGGACCTTGTTTCTAAATATATACATAGTCTATGATTTTTATACCATGATAGCGAAGGTCTATTTCTTACCAATATTAGAATGGAAACCATGATTTAGTTTTTATTTTATTTTATCTACGCAAATTTTTATTCGAATTATTCAATATTAATATTAATATTATTCGTTTTATTTGACTAAATTTTCAATGTAATTCAAATACTCAAACTCATAACGAATAGAAACCTTAACGACGTTCCATTTTTCTCAATTCATATATAAAATTCCAATTTTTTAAACACATGCAAACTCTTATTGCTTCAGGTTCTAAACTACAACGCCTTTGAGTAATTAAGCCTGTGTCTCCAAAAAAACTCGTTCAACTGGGACACTTGTCGCTATAATAAGTTTATTAGATTAGAAATTAATAAATTTAATTCTAAATAAGCAGAATGCAAAAATTAGAATACCAGGGACTGCCAAATAATTTCTAGCTTAAGGCTCCGAACTGTTCGGAACTTTAATAGCGATGGTGATGGGAGTTTTTTCTCATCTGTTAGGGAGAAAGAAAAAAGAAAACAATCAAGGAGTGAATTAATAATATTAATTGTTGCCATGTGGCAACTGTTCTTTCTGTTGTAGTATTAATATACATATATTGATGATTAGGTAGTAAATTATATTCTCCGATTTTCTTTTCTTTTAGGTTCATCATGGAGTTATGATTTTTCATTCTTCTTGATAAAATTTCATAGGTAATTTTCTCTTTCCTTAGATAAGTATCATTTGTTTTGAAAACATAAGGTGCAATCTTTTCCTTCTGATAGTGCTGTAATTCTTGGGTTCCATAGTAGACTTGATGTAAATGAGTTCATATTAATTGTTTTTATATAGAACTAACTTTATACACCCATTTAACATTAATATTAAGAAAAAAAATGGGACATTATAAATTGTTAAATCATATCCTTGGTAGTACAAATGTTCACTTTGTCAGGTTTTGTTGCAGTATGCCTCATATAATAAAGATACAAACTGGGTATTTCTTAATATATGTAAATTGAATTGGTAACACGACATTTTATCAGATATGCAGGACATCTATTTATCACTCTAAAAAGCTTATAACTCCCTATAAAAAAAAAATGAAAAGAAGTAAACCGACAGAATTAAAGCTAAGGACTAAATTTCATTTCCATCTGTTTACTTTGTTTTTTTTTTTTTATTGGAAAAGTTTTGAGTTATAAGGCTTCAAAGTTGGAACATTTTATGTGTCATTGTAAACTTTAGGAAATGATCTTCTCTTGTGTTTTCCTAAAAGGCTGATGATCGGCTTGAAATTTCTGTGTGATACAAAAAATCCTTCTAATAAAAGAAATTTATTATTGACATATAGATATTCGATTTTGCGAACTGATATATTATTGTTATTTTTATTTTTATTTATGAAAAATAATCGAGTCTAAGAAAGATTTTCAGAATATATGCTTAAAAATCAAAAAACATAATCTTGCCTTGGTGTGCTTCTAGTTTTTCTCCAAACTTCCTGACCTTTTGCGAATTCGCCAAGTTATCACTACTAGACATGCACAAATTTGACACAGTTCCCTTGTACATGTATTTACCTTTGATGGTAGTAATGGTAAATGGAGATCGAGATGGGACAACTACTTTGTGGGAGCCCGCACAATAACTTGGCGATTATCATTCAGGGACATAAATGTTTAAGCTTGATTTGGTTATTTGAATTTAAGTATGCGCATAATATGTGCATTTTGAAAATTTCCCTAGCAAGTCCAAAAGTGGAAAAGCATGCATGCTTAATATTAATATTTTCAGGATTAAACCTGAATAACTTTTTAATTTTACAAGGGAAATTTTTTTTATCACATGTAATACATGTAATTAATACTCCGCAGTATATTTACAAGGCGGATTATTATCAAGATAATTCTTTGTTTTCTTGAAACAATATTTAATTATCATAATTTTTTCATGTGGTAAAATGATTTTTTTTTATTTAACCTAATTCTACAAAATTATCAACACATGATGGCTAGGATGCAGTTTGTGTAACCTCTGCTAACCTTATTTTTGAATTTCGTTTTTTTTTGTTGATTCCCAGAAGTTAAAGGCGGTTTTTGTTGGAATTATGCATGTAAAATGTTTAATTTTAATATGAATAGTTATAAATATGTATAAATGCACAAAATAGGTAAAATTATCTTTTCATATTAACCTAAACGAAGAAAGATCAACGACCCATTCTTTTGGTAATATTAAAAATTTTTTTTTGTCGAGATTTTATCATACATAATCACAATAAATCAGACAAATAAAAAAAAATTCTATATAAAAATTGCTTAAAAAAATAAATTTTTAAATAACTCCTACAAATTATTTATTGGGTGTTTATTTAATATATATATGTTATATATGTATTTTCTAACTAAATTATAAAAAAAATAAAATTAAAAATTTTAAAGTTAGAATTATTAAATTGAATAGTAGATAGAGAATGGAAGACGAAGCATTAGCATTAACGTCTGTTAATGAACAAAATTCAAATGGCACTGCTCCACCAGTTTTCGATCCTATACAACTGCAAGATTACCTTCACCAACTTTTACCTTTACTTTTAGGAGCTGAGGCAGATGATTTAAAAAGGACTTTATGGGATTTACCTGAAACCCTTGAAAAACTCAGAAAATTTGCAAATGACCCTCAGGTCAATGCCATATACATTATAAAAGAAAAAGACGAAAAGAAAGATGAAGGTTATTCATTTTATTTGATTAATTCAAAATTAACCGTAAAATTCGTCCGTTTACTGATTTTTAATTACAATAATAATGATTTCGATAATATTGATAGATGATCAAGCCATATTGTCAACATCTTATTCTTATACTTTATCACAAGAAATTACTTATTATTCAAACCATGTCGCTTCCGTTGTAATGATAAAACGTATTTCAAATTTGGATCCTACAAGGTTGATTCAAACTCAAGTACAGATCATAAATTTGCCTGGTCCTGCTTCAAGCGAATCCGGATCAGTTGCTGTAAACCCATATGAAGCGATTCATTCCTATATACATTTAGCTGTTGCTCCTTATTTCGATGCCTATGTTAATGCAAAAGGTATAAATACTGAACTTACTACTATTGGTAAGAAACATGATGATTCTAAAATGGGAATTCCAATGGCTAAAAAGAAGATCGCCGAATTGGAATTGTCTTTACTTCATCTACAACAAAATGTTGATATACCTGAAATTTTGTTAAATATTCATCCTGTTGTTCAAAGAGCTGTTGAAAAGGTAGATTTCCAAATTCGATTTAAAGCTATATTCGTATGATTTAAACCGATATTTTCAATCTTGATAATTTCGATTTTGGGGGGTTTTTTTTTTTTTAGTGTAAACAAGAAGGAAGAAGAGTTTCTATTGATGTAATTGACCCACAACTTTTTAAAGAATCCTCTTTTCTAAATAAACTTCAAGCAGATGTAAACGGTTGGATAAAAGAAATTCAAAAAGTCACAAAATTATCACGTGATCCCACCAGTGGTACTGCCATACAAGAAATCAACTTTTGGTTAAGTATGGAAGCTGCTTTGGCTGGTGTCGATGACAAATTGAAAAGTGATCAAATTGGTATGATAATTAAAAATGTTGCATGATGATTATAATAATAATAATAATTAATTAGTTATTAATTAAATCAATCAATTAAAATGTAATTATATATATAGTATTGACTTTGGAAATTTTAAGACAAGCAAAAAGATTTCATGCAACTGTATCTTTTATTGCCGATACTGGTTTGAAAGAAGCCACTGAAAAGGGTTATTATTATCATTCCTTTATTTTTCTCTAAAAATATTAATCTTTTAAAAATAATTATAATCATCGTAGATGTTGACAAATTTCTTTTGATCCTTCTTTTTTTATTATTATTGTATTAGTTCACAAGTACAATCAACTCATGAAAGATTTTCCGCTTAATGAATTATTGTCTGCGCCTGATGTTAGTAAAGTAAAGGAAGCACTAATGATAATTTATGGTCATTTCAATAGAAAGTTGAGATTATCGTAAGTAATTATGATTTATTATAAGTAATAATATTATTGTTAACGTCAATAATGACAAATCATAATATCAATATTTACAAAACTTTTAATCTATAATAATCAGTCCATATCCAATTAAGAAAGCTTTAGCGCTTGCTGAAGCTATTTCACGTGATTTAAATGAACAATTACTTAAAGTGCTGGGTAATAGACGATTAATGTATATGAGTTATGAAGAGTTCGAGAAAGTGATGTCTGGTGCTGAAGATGTGTTCAAGACGTGGGACGAATGTATTAAAGAATTCACCAATGTGGCTCGTGATGTGACCAGGAAAAGAACCGACAAATTCATACCAATAAAAATCATTCCTGCTCATGACAAATTACAAGAACGTGTCGACTTTGTAAGAGGTTTTAGGAAACAACATGAACAACTGCATCAAACCATTCTAAAGGTTATGACTCAACCAAAGAAAGTCCCAAAAAAAATTGTTGATGAAAGTGAAGAAAATGCTGCTGCTCCTCAAGAAGATAATGATATTGATGCTTTGGAAGAAATTAGATTGGCTTATGAAAATGTTAAAGATATTGATGTGTTGGATGTTTCACTTATGGGCACTGAGATTTGGATGCATGCTGAGAATGCTTATAATGAACGTGTCTCTCGTGTTGAAAATAAAATTATTTCAAGTTTGAGAGATAGACTTGGTACTTGTAAAAATGCAAGTGAAATGTTTAGAGTTTTCTCTAAATTTAATGCGTTATTTGTTAGACCTAAGGTACGATTTAATATCTATATATATTTATTAAAAAAAAAAAAATTATAAAAATATATGTAATATATATATGCACACAAAAATTATTGTTGATTTAATTTAGATTCGTGGAGCTATTCAAGAATATCAAACCTTACTTTTAGAATCTGTCAAGGATGATATTGCAAAACTTCAAGAAAAATTCACTGTGCAATATCATAATTCGCAAGCAAATCATATGGCTCAACTTCGTGATTTACCATCAATTTCTGGTGCTATGATTTGGGCTCGTCAGATTGAACGTCAATTACAAACTTATATGAAACGTGTTGAAGATGTGTTGGGTAAAGGTTGGGAATCACAAAAGGATGGTGAACAATTACAAAAGAGGAGCATAAATTTCAGAAAGAAATTAGATACCAAACCTGTAATTAATTAATCTCTTAATTTAGTAATAATAATGGTTATATTTTTTATTCCTTTTGAAAGTTTTATTAATAATCCTTTGTTTTTTTTTTTGCCTAAATGATATTGATTTTAGATTTTTGAAGCATGGAAAACTGATATTAGTAATCGTCGTGACTTGAACGTTAACGGTCGATTATTTGAAATTACAAAAAATAGAACTCAAAACACATTACAATTAGGCGTAAATTTTGATCCACAAATAATCACTTTATTTAAAGAAGTTCGTAATCTGCTCTGGTTAGATCATCAAGTTCCACATAATATTAGTGGTTTGGCAAAAGTTGCTAAACGTGTCTATCCATTTGCCGTCAGTCTAATGGAAACAGTGAGGACATATGCTCAAACTATACAAAAAGCCAGAGAACATCCCGAAATTATAATGTTAGTTGCTAGTTATCGTAATGATGTCCAGGCACAAATTACCAAAGGCATAAATTATGAATGGAGATATTTTGTTGAAACTTATGACCATCACTATCATCCAAATATGCACATGACTGGTTCTTTGGATTCTCCTGAAAATCAACATGTGACTTTTGTCAGAGATTTTGCAAACCAAGTCTCTATTTTTCAAGATAAAGTTGACGCTTTGATATCTGGTTATGAAGATATTTCTCGTTATATTGATGATTTAAAAACTTGTTTATACAAGAAAGCTAAACTCCAAGGAAATTTGGATAAAATTCAAAAGCTTGTAAGTTAAAATTTTATTTTTTTTGATATAATATACTAATTGAACTATATTTGTGTTAATGAAATCAATCTATTGAATATAATCAGATCGATAGACTTAATCTAGAGTCATACTCAAATCTTAAATCGTGGGTTTCAGAACTTGATAAACGAATTGAAGCAGTTTTGGCGCAACGACTAGAGAAGGCAATTATTGCATGGACAAATGAATTCACGGTTGCAGGTGATGACTCCGGTAATCGTGATTCTACCTCACGTGAAGCAGTTTCTATTAGTGGTAAAGTTGTAAAACGGGCTAGGCGGCACACTTCAAAAAATGAATCCGGTATCGATGGGGAAAGGCCGTTGGCTTCAAGAAGTGCTGAAAAACCCGAACTTGAAATCTCTGTTCATGAAGTTCTTATTCTTAATCGAGTTATTTATTTGGATCCACCTGTTGAAGAAGCTAGATCCAATTGGTTCAATCAATTGCACGAATGGCTTGGTAACTATCTGCTTAACAATTAATCAATCAATCAATCAAATCAATTATTATTATTAACTATAAAAAATGATTTTTTCTAATAAAATATATTTAATTTAGCAATTGTATGTAATTTACCAAGAATTCAAAGTTCTAGATATGAAATCTATGTACAAGTTAAAGGATCTATTTCCGAGAAAACATATTCTAATTTATTATCCCAAATTCCCGAAGCAACACTTAAAAAAGCCTATGAAGTAATTGAAGAGAAATTGAAAGAAATGGGTGAATATGTTAATATTTGGTTTCAATTTCAATCGTTATGGGATTTGGAAGATGATTTTGTAAGCACATATCTTGGTGATGATCTTGAAAAATGGCAACAAATCCTTACTGAAATTCAAAATTCCAGATCAACTTTTGATAATGCTGAAACATCATGTTCATTTGGCCCTATAGTTGTTAAATATGAACAAGCTCAGAACCGAGTTAATGAGAAGTATGAGAGATGGCAACGTGACGTTTTGAGTAAATTTGGAAATAAACTTGGTGATGTTATGCGACAGTTCAATGCTGACATTTTACATGCTCGTACAAATCTTGAAAATCAAACAATTGATAATAATGGTACCGGTGATGCTGTCATTCTGATCACTTTTATACAAGATTTGAAACGTAAAATAGCTAAATGGGGTCAAGATGTTGAATTATTCCGTAAAGGTCAAAAAACTTTAATCAAACAAAGATATCAGTTCCCTAGTGATTGGTTATATGCTGACCAGATCGATGGTGAATGGAGTGCCTTTAATGAAATTTTCTCAAGGAAGGATAGTGCCATACAGGAACAAATTGGTACGTGTGAATAGAATATTTTATTAACAAAAAAAATTTTAAATTAAATTATTAAATTATTTTTTAATACACAACACGTACATACAGCTGGATTGCAAGAAAAAATTATTAAAGAAGATGAAATTGTTGAAGCCAAAATCAAAGAAACTGATGCAGAATGGGATAAGAATAAACCAATTCAAGGAGATATTAAACCTGATATGGCCATCAACACTCTTAAAGTATATTCAGTACGTATCAAGAATCTTAAAGAAGAATATGATAGAGTTTGTCGTGCCAAAGAAGCTCTTGATATGGCACTGTCAACTGATAGTAAACTTGATACTATTCTTGAAGAACTTGAAGATCTTAAATCAGTATGGGAAGCTTTGGCAGATATTTGGCAAAAACTTGGTGTTTTGAAAGAGAAACCATGGGCTACCACCTCACCACGTAAAATTAGACAAGATTTGGACAAATTGCTTGCTGAAACTAAAGATTTACCAAATCGTGTCAGAACATATGCTGCGTTTGATTTTACTCAGAATGCATTAAAAGATTATATTAAAGTTAATCCTGTTCTTTCTGAACTCAAATCCGAAGCATTGCAAGATCGTCATTGGAAACAATTGTTCAAAACATTACGTATTGAAAAAAGTTATATTTTCTCTGAGATGACTATTGGCAATGTATGGGATTTTGATCTTAGAAAAAATGAACTGGCTATTAAAGAAATTGTTGCTCAAGCTTCAGGTGAAATGGCTCTTGAAGAATTCTTGAAACAAGTAATCATCAATATTTTTCATTTTATTTTTTAATTAAGTTTTATAATTTTTTTTTTTTATAGTTGATTTATTAATTTATTGTGTAATGTGTAACAGGTTAAAGAAACATGGTCGACTTATATTTTAGAATTGGTTAATTATCAAAATAAATGTCGTTTGATCAAAGGATGGGATGATATATTTACTAAATGCGGTGAACATTTAAATTCCTTGACTGCTATGAAGGTATCACCTCACTACAAAGCATTTGAACAAGAGGCTTCAGTCTGGGAAGACAAACTGAATAAGATACATGTTTTATTTGATGTGTGGATTGATGTACAACGTCAATGGGTTTATCTTGAGGGTATTTTCAGCAATAGTGCTGATATCAAACATTTGTTACCAGTTGAAACTCAAAGATTTCATAGTATAGATACAGAATTTTTAACAGTAATGAAGAAAGTGTACAAGTCACCATATGTAGTTGATGTGTTGAATATTTCAAATGTACAAAAATCATTAGAACGGTTAGCTGATCTTTTGAGCAAAATTCAAAAGGCTCTTGGAGAATACCTTGAACGTGAACGTTCCTCGTTCCCTCGATTTTATTTTGTTGGTGATGAAGATTTACTTGAAATCATTGGTAATAGTAAAGATGTTCTGAGAATTCAAAAACATTTCAAGAAAATGTTTGCTGGTATTTCCAACATTTTATTAAACGAAGACAATACTATAATTACTGGTATGGCATCACGTGAAGGCGAAGAAGTTATCTTTAAACATCCAATCTCACTCAAAGAACATCCAAAAATTAATGATTGGCTTACATTGATTGAAAAAGAAATGAAAGTCTCACTTGCTGAATGGCTGACTGAATCGTTTAATGAACTTGCCGTTTTTTATCTTGCCGATGATTTAGACACCCCTTTGTTTTTGAGCTGGATAGAAAAATATCCTACACAATTAGTAGTTGTAGCATCACAAATTATTTGGACTCAATCAGTTGAAAAAGCTTTAACAACCATGGAACAAACAGATCGTAACGATATTGCACCATTAAACAACGCACTTAACTGTTGTCTTCGTGCATTGGATCTTTTAGCTGACACTGTGCTTCAAGACCTACCAACCACACAACGTAAAAAATGCGAACATCTTGTTACTGAGATTGTTCATCAACGTGATTTGCTTCGTCAACTCATAAAAAGCAAAACATCATCACCAAAAGATTTTGAATGGTTGTATCAAATGAGATTCTATTTTAATTCTAGTCTGGAAGATCCTTTGGTTCGTCTTACAATCAGAATGGCAAATGCACAATTTTACTATGGTTATGAATATCTTGGTATACCAGATCGTTTAGTACAAACACCTCTTACTGATCGTTGTTATCTCACTTTAACTCAAGCTTTGGAAGGAAGATTAGGAGGAAGTCCATTTGGACGCAAGTATCAATTTTATTATTGCTAACTTATTTAAATTATTTGTTATAATTTTTTGTTATAACAATTTTTTTTGTTTTTGCACACATTTATCCGTACACGCATATACTTGTATTGGAATTAATATTTGTCTCTTTATTTTTGATTATTCTACATAACAGCCGCGTAAGTACTTTTTAATGATTTACTTTTATTTTTAAAAAATTTCAATAAATAAATATCTAATGTAATTCTAATTTTCCATCTTTTAAATTTAAATAGAGGTAAGGAATTTAAAATAAAACATTTTTTATTATTTATTTTTTTAATAAAACAGCTAAATAACGTATTATATTATTTTTTAGGAACTGGCAAGTGTTGGGGTAAAGGTACCAAATTTATTATGTATGATGGATCAGAGAAAGCAGTCGAAGAAATTGTTGTCGGTGATAAATTAATGGGCGATGATAGCACAGCCAGAAATGTTCATTCAATAACTCGTGGAATTGGACAAATGTATAAGATTATTCCCAATGAACATTCATCACCAGCTGAACCATTTACATGTAACGACGAACATATTTTAGTTCTTGCAATTTCCGAGAAACCAAAAATACAACATTTTATTAACAATTCAACAGAAAAAAGTCCATGTTATAAAGTTAAATGGTATTCTCACGATCCAATTTCAAATTCCATCAAACTCAATTGCAAAACATTCACTTATCAATCAAACAATACGATTGACGAAGAAATCAAACAAAAACAAGCCCAAACGTTCTGTTCTAAAGTTCCTGATTTGACTTGCAACAATTTCAAATGGGAAATTAGTGTTAAACAATTCTTGAGTTATAAAAAATCAATTCAAAATGTCTGTAGAATGTATAAACCATCAGAAGTTCATTTCTCGGCATTTAAAGGTCAATTCAAAAAAGTTTTAGATAATGTACTTGGTTTCGATTCAACTGATGATCAAATCAAATCATTCTCTTGGCTTATTGGTGCTTGGATAGCTGGTGGATTTAAAAAATCGATTTTAACTAACAAGAGTGCGAAAATTGTAAAAAACCAAATGACCGAAAAATTAGAAGGGTGCGGCAAATTACTTGGATTAAGTCTTAGATTTTACAAATTTAACAAAAACAATGATGAAATAATCAAAATTGAATACAAAACTCTTAAAAATGAAAATGATGAATATAGTCAATTACATAATAAATTTACCAACCTTTTAAGTCGATTAGAAATTTTAGATGGTAATAATGTTCCAAACTTTATGATGATGGAGGACATAGAAACAGTTCGTCTACCACTTCTTGGTGGACTTCTTGATGCAGGCGGTTATTTTGTTGAAGGCAGAGAATATTCATTTGAACTGGAGCAAAGAAATATTGCAGAACGTGTTGCTAGAATAGCTAATCTTTCAGGTTTCCGTGTAAATAATTTCAATACAATCACCAAAATTGGAAATAAGTCAAGAAATCCTTTTGGAGAAATAAAAAGTAACAACAAGGCTAAAGCAGAATGCTTCAGTTTATTTATTACTGGTGGAAATATAAATGATATTCCAACAATTGTTAAAAATAAATCGGTACAAAATCTTGTTAATGATCCATCTGATTACACATGGAAATTTAATGTCGAAACTTTGCAACATGACGATTATTATGGATTTACTGTTGACGGAAATCGTAGGATGCTTCTTCGTGATTTAACTGTAACACACAATACTGAATCTGTGTATGTAAATTTGTTTCTAATCAATTGATTCTTGTTTTATTAATACTATAATTGATAATTTTTAACCCTACATTTTTTTTCATTGCTTTCCAAACATATAAATAAATAGCAAAGGTAATCAATCAATCAGTCAAATACATTATTGTTTATTATTATTATTTAAAAAACATTAACACGTCTCTTATTGTTATTTATTATCTTAGCACTTGGTGTACAACTTGGTAGATTTGTGCTTGTATTCTGTTGTGATGAGAATTTTGATTTCCAAGCTATGGGCCGTATTTTTGTTGGTCTTTGTCAAGTAGGAGCATGGGGATGTTTTGATGAGTTCAATCGTTTAGAAGAAAGAATCTTGTCAGCTGTATCACAACAAGTACAAACAATTCAACTTGGCTTGAAAGCAATTATGGATAATCCTAAGGCTGAAGTAGAAATTGTAGGAAAGAGTCTTACAGTCAATGCTAATACTGGTATGCACAAATCTTTATTAAATAAATAATAAATAAACAAATAAACAAATAATTAAATGTGTATGTATATTTGTATATTTGTTAGGTATCTTTATTACTATGAATCCTGGATATGCTGGTAGATCCAACTTGCCTGACAACTTGAAGAAATTGTTTAGAAGTATTGCCATGACTAAACCAGATCGTGAACTTATTGCACAAGTGATGTTGTATTCTCAGGGTTTCCGTACAGCGGAAATCCTTGCATCAAAAGTCGTGCCTCTATTTAATCTTTGTGCAGAACAACTTTCACCACAAGCTCATTATGATTTTGGTCTGAGAGCATTAAAGAGTGTACTTGTTAGTGCTGGTAATATGAAACGTGAACGTCTTCAACATTTAAGAGCAGCGATTCAAGCAGGCGAAAAAGATGATACCGAATACACAAAAATATCTGAACCAATACCTGAGCAAGAAATTATGATTCAAAGTGTTCGCGAAACTATTGTTCCTAAATTAGTTGCTGATGATATTCCATTGTTAACAAGGTAATAAAATCAGATAATTTTAATCTCAATTATTTTTTTTTTATTTTTTTTTTTAATAAATCAATTATAATAAACATATATAGTTTAATGACTGATGTATTCCCGGGAGTTGAATATGTGCCTGTTGATCTTGAAAAACTTACAGAGGAAATCAAAAAAGTTTGTAAAGAGAAAAGACTTTTTGATGGTGAAATGTGGATGGAAAAAACTCTTCAACTTTATCAAATTCAAAATATTCATCACGGTTTAATGATGGTAGGTCCATCTGGATCTGGAAAAACAATGGCCTGGAAGGTATTATTAGAAGCATTGGAAAGAGTGCAAGGTGTTGAGGGTGTGCCATATGTTATTGATCCTAAAGCAGTATCCAAAGATGATCTTTACGGTACTTTGGATCCTACAACTCGTGAATGGACTGATGGTCTTTTCACTCATATTTTAAGAAAAATTATTGATAATGTACGTGGTGAAAGTGCAAAAAGGCATTGGATTATTTTTGATGGTGATGTTGATCCTGAATGGGTAGAAAATTTAAATAGGTAAAAAGATTTGAAAATGAAATTAATTGTATATTATTTTATCAAGTAGAAAACTAATAATGATTTTTTTTTTGATTTGCAGTGTGTTGGATGACAATAGGTTATTGACATTACCTAACGGTGAACGTTTGGGTTTACCACATAATGTAAGAATTATGTTTGAAGTAGAGAATTTGAAATATGCAACATTGGCTACTGTCAGTCGCTGCGGTATGGTCTGGTTTAGTGAAGAAGTAGTGACATTGGAGCTGCTCTATAATAATTATTTGGAAACACTTAGAAGCGTTTCATTAGATGAAAATGAAGAGGAGGATAGTGTAGCTAATGCACATAGAAATGAATCTGAAGAAGAAAGCTCACCACACATGAACACACAACGTGCCATTGCAACAATACTTTCTAAACATATGACTGATAATGGTTTAGTTACAAAAGCTCTTGAGCATGCAGAAAAATTGACTCATATTATGGATTTCACAAAAGCGAGAGTCTTGAGTACTTTGTTTTCATTATTGAATAAAACAGTAAGGAATGTTATTGAATACAATGTACAACATCCTGATTTCCCAATGGGAGCTGAACATATGGAAGGTTACGTTATAAAAAGATTAGTGCTTGGTGTAATTTGGAGTTTCTCTGGTGATGCTAAACTTGATTTACGTGCAAATCTCGGTGATTATATTCGTGGAATTACAACAGTTGATTTACCACCTGCTCAACCGGGTTCTTCTATTATTGATTATGACGTACAAATTAGCAATGGTGAATGGGTACCATGGGCTGGAAAAGTTCCTACTATTGAAATCGAGACTCATAAAGTTTCATCAGCTGATATAGTTATTCCAACAGTTGACACGGTACGTCACGAAGAAGTTTTGTATTCATGGCTTTCAGAACACAAACCTCTGTTACTATGTGGTCCACCAGGTTCAGGAAAAACCATGACTCTTTTCAGTGCTCTTAGAAAATTACCTGACATGGAAGTAGTAGGTCTTAATTTCTCAAGCGCTACCACACCCGAATTGGTTCTTAAAACTTTTGAACAATATTGTGAATATAAAAAGACTCCAAATGGTATTATATTGGCTCCAGTAGCAATTGGTCGTTGGATTGTAGTATTTTGTGATGAAATCAATTTGCCTGCAACTGATAATTATGGTACACAACGTGTTATTTCATTCTTGAGACAATTATTCGAATATGGTGGTTACTGGAGAGCTTCTGATAAGTCTTGGGTTAAACTTGAAAGAATTCAATTTGTTGGTGCTTGTAATCCTCCCACTGATCCTGGTCGAGTACCTTTAACTCATAGATTCCTTCGTCATTCTCCATTGGTTATGGTTGATTATCCTGGACAAATATCCCTCAACCAAATTTACGGAACTTTCTCGCGTGCTATGTTAAAAGTTGTTCCAGCACTCCGTGCATACGCAGAAAATCTTACAGCGGCAATGGTAGACTTTTTCTTGATGTCCCAAAAAAGATTTACACCAGACATTCAAGCACATTATATTTATTCGCCTCGTGAGTTGACCAGATGGATGAGAGGTATTTATGAAGCTATTAAACCTATGGAAACCCTTACTGTTGAAGGATTGATTAGAATTTGGGCACATGAAGCTCTTCGTCTATTCCAAGATCGTCTTGTTGGAGAAGATGAAAGAAAATGGACAGATGATAACATTGATGCAATTGCCATGAAACATTTCCCTAATCTAAACCAAGAAGAAGCTTTAACCAGACCAATTTTATACTCAAACTGGTTGTCCAAATTTTATATTCCAGTACAACGTGATGATTTACGTGATTATGTCAAGGCTAGACTTAAAGTATTTTATGAAGAAGAATTGGATGTTCCACTTGTGTTATTTAATGATGTATTAGATCATGTATTAAGAATTGATCGTGTGTTCCGTCAGATGCAAGGACATTTACTTTTAATTGGTGTGAGTGGTTCTGGTAAAACAACATTATCTAGATTTGTTGCTTGGATGAATGGTCTAAGTGTTTTCCAAATCAAAGCACATAATAAATATACTGGTGATGATTTTGATGAGGATTTGAGAACAGTGTTAAGACGTTGTGGTTGCAAGGCAGAAAAGATTTGCTTTATTATGGATGAATCTAATGTATTAGATTCTGGATTTTTGGAACGTATGAATACGCTTTTGGCTAATGCCGAAGTTCCAGGTTTATTTGAAGGTGATGAATTCAACACATTGATGACAAGTTGTAAAGAAGGTGCTCAAAAGGAAGGCTTGATGTTAGATTCAAATGAAGAGTTGTACAAATGGTTCACACAACAAGTGATGAAAAATTTACATGTTGTATTTACAATGAATCCCCCAGAAGGTGGTTTAGCTTCACGTGCGGCAACTTCGCCTGCTTTGTTCAATCGTTGTGTGCTTGATTGGTTCGGTGATTGGTCAGATCAAGCCTTCTTCCAAGTTGGTATTGAATTTACTCAAAGTTTAGATTTAGATCTACCTAGTTATTCTCCTCCATCCAACTTCCCAGTTGTATATCGTGCGTTATCATCTTCACCAATACATCGTCATGCCCTTGTGAATGCATTTGTGTATGTTCATCAGTCACTTTATGAAATCAATGCCAAGTTGAGTAAACGCCAAGGAAAATATAATTATGTTACTCCTCGTCATTACTTAGATTTCATTAATCAGTATGTAAGATTATTCAATGAGAAACGTGAAGATTTAGAAGAACAACAACGTCATTTAAATATTGGTTTAGAGAAATTAAGAGATACCGTGATTAAAGTAGAAGAATTGAAAAAGAGTTTGAGTATCAAAGAAAAAGAATTAGAGAGAAAAGATAAGGAAGCCAATGAAAAATTGAACAAAATGGTTAAGGATAAAGAAATAGCAGAAGTAAATGAAAAGGAATCCAGACAACTTCAAAAAGTTGTCGAGATTCAAAACAAGGAAATTGAGGAAAGAAGAGCTGTTGTATTGAGAGATATTGCAAATGCACAACCTGCTGTTGAGGAAGCCAAGAAAAGTGTACAAGGTATTAAGAAACAGCAACTTACTGAAGTGCGTTCAATGGCAAATCCACCAGAAGCGGTGAAACTTGCTATGACATCTGTATGTACTATACTTGGGTTTAAAATTGATACTTGGAAAGGTGTACAAGGTGTTATTCGTAGAGACGATTTTATTACTAGCATTGTAAATTTTGATACAGACAAAAACATGACCAAATCTCTTAGAGAAACAATGAGAAATGACTATCTTAGCAAACCACAATACAATTATGAAACGGTTAATAGAGCTAGTAAAGCTTGTGGTCCATTGGTCAAATGGGTAGAAGCTCAAGTCAATTATTCAACAATTTTAGATTCTGTTGGTCCATTACGTAAAGAAGTAGATGATTTAGAACAAAAATTACAAGAACTTAAAGCCAAATTGGAAGCACTTGATCAAACGATTAAGGATACGGTGAAGCAGATTGCAGTCTATAAAGAAGAATACACTGTTTTGATGACAGAAAGAGGAGAAATCAAAAATGAAATGATACAAGTGAAAAACAAGGTTGATCGTAGTTTGAAACTTCTTGACAGTTTATCGTCAGAAAAAGGAAGATGGGAAAGTGGTAGTCAAACATTTGAGACACAAATGGGTACTATTGTTGGTGATGTATTGCTTTCAGCAGGATTCCTTGCTTATGGTGGTTACTTTGATCAACAATATCGTGAAATTTTATTAAATAAATGGACAAATCATCTTGTCAGTGCCAATATTCAATTCAAACCAGACATATCATTGACTGAATATTTATCATCAGCTGATGATAGACTTTCATGGCAAGAAAATTCACTTCCAGCAGATGACCTTTGTACAGAAAATGCTATTATGCTTAAACGTTTTAACAGATATCCACTTATTATTGATCCATCAGGTCAAGCATCAGCGTTTTTGATGAATGAGTTTAAAGATAAAAAGATTACTATAACCAGCTTCTTGGATGATTCATTTATCAAGAATTTAGAAAGTGCTCTTCGTTTTGGTAATCCATTACTTATCCAAGATGTAGAACATTTAGATCCTATTCTTAATGCAGTATTAAATAAAGAATTGAGGCGTACTGGTGGTCGTGTATTGATTCGTTTGGGTGGACAAGACATAGATTTCTCGCCGTCATTTACACTCTTCCTTTCAACTCGTGATCCGTCAATTAATTTCCCACCGGATGTGTGCAGTAGAGTCACTTTTGTTAACTTTACAGTAACACGTGGCAGTTTACAAAGTCAATGTCTCAATCACGTCCTTAAGGTTGAAAGGCCTGATACAGATAAAAAAAGAACAGACGTAATTAAACTTCAAGGAGAATTCAGATTAAAATTAAGACATCTTGAGAAATCTTTATTGCAAGCTTTAAATGAATCTAAAGGAAATATTTTGGATGATAATAAAGTTTTAGACACATTGGAAACATTGAAGAAGGAAGCTGCAGAAATTACAAGTAAAGTCGAGGAAACTGAAGGTGTTATGCAAGAAGTCGAACAAGTAACTGCAGAGTATACACCACTTGCACAAGCATGTAGTTATGTCTTCTTTGTGATGGAACAAATGAATTTATTGCATCACTTTTATCAATTTTCACTTGAATATTTCAATGAAATTTTCCAATTTATTCTTCGTGAAAATCCAAATCTTAAAGATGTTACTGATAATAGTGAAAGGTTAAGAATTCTTATGAAAGATCTTTTTAATGTTACATTTTATAGAGTTTCTCGTGCCCTATTACATGAAGATTATGTTACCTTTGCAATTTTATTAGCACAAGTCAAACTTCGTAATGAATCCAATCAATTGGATGAAACTGAATATGATTTCTTATTGAGTGGTGGTGATGTAGTGCCTGGATCCAAAGCTAGTGCACGGGAATTAGGTTTACCAGAAGGATTGTTTGATAGTGATCAACTATGTCGTATCAAAGAATTCGCAACTCTCAAATGTTTCTCGGGTCTTACCAAACATATTGCAAATAATGAAGAAGAATGGCAGGAATTTTTTGACGCTGATGCAGCCGAAAAACATATTCCAGTTTGTTGGGATAGCTCATTACCACGTAATTGTTATTACTATCATTATTCTATTTATCTATTTTGATTTTATATATATACTTAAATAAATTATATTTGTTTTATATAGCTATTATTATACAATTAAGAAAAATGTTGATTGTCAAATGTTTCAGATCTGATAGGCTTATATCAACTATTAGTGAATTTGTAGCAATTGCATTTGATCCAGGATTTATTGGTCAAGCAGAGTTGAATCTTAAGGAAATGGTTTTGGATGAAATTCAACCAAGCACACCTATATCATTATGTTCAGTTCCTGGATATGATGCAAGTTACCGTGTGGACAATCTTGTAGCAGAACTTAATATTAAATGTAAATCAGTTGCAATGGGATCACAAGAAGGATTTACGTTAGCAGATCAAGCTATTGCAGCATCAGTTAAAAATGGTGAATGGGTATTGTTGAAGAATGTACATCTTGCACCATCATGGCTTGGACATTTAGAAAAGAAATTACATAGTATGAAACCAAATAGAAATTTCAGATTGTTCCTTACCATGGAAACAAATCCAAAAGTACCAGTGAATTTATTACGTCTATCTCGTGTCTTGATGTTTGAACCACCACCAGGAATTAAAGCTAATCTTCACGAATCACTTAAAAGCATACCAGTCAGCCGTATTTCCAAAGGCCCAACTGAAAGAGTTCGTTTATACTTTTTACTTTCGTGGTTACACGCAATTGTTCAAGAAAGACTTCGATATGTACCACTTGGTTGGACAAAGATTTATGAATTCAATGATTCTGATCAAGATTTTGCATTCAATACTATTGATGCATGGTTGGATTCAGTTGCTCAAGGCAGAGCAAATATAGCACCTGAAAAAATACCATGGGATGCTATTCGTATATTAATATCAATCGTAGCTTATGGTGGTCGTATTGACAATGAATTTGATAAACGGCTATTAGAGAATTTTGTAAACAATTTATTTACACCAACTTCATATGATCTAGACTTTCCACTTGTAATATCAGAAGAGGACAATAAATTGGTGATACCTGAAGGATCTAAAATTGATCAATTCATGGAATGGGTTAACAAATTACCGGATCGTGAGCCGCCAGTATGGTTAGGATTACAAAGTAATGCTGAAAGAGTGCTAGCAACCACACAAGGTAATTTTATCTATAATATTTTTATGAATATATTTTTATGGTGGTGAGGGTGTTTGTTTTAATTAATAAGTGGCTTTTTGTGATTAACGTTAAATGTAATAATTAATGAATAATATTTAGCAAATGCAATGCTTGTTAAGATTTGTAAGATGAAGAGTTTATCTGACGATGATGAAGTTGCATATACTCAAGAATCAAGTTCACAATCATCTGCAGCATCATTACAACCAGCTTGGATGAGAGCATTATTTACTACAGTAGACAATTGGTTGAAGTCATTGCCAGAGGTAAGGCCCGAATTAATTGAAAAAAAAATTAAAGACTAGTTTTCCAATAAATAATTAAATAATTGATCATTCTATGTGTGCGCATTTTGATTTTAATAGAAATTGAAGCCAATGAATCGTACTGCAGAAAGTATCAAGAATCCATTATTTAGATTCTTTGACCGTGAAAATCAAATTGGACGTAGCCTTTTAAAGAAAATAAGACAAGATTTAGATGACATTAAATTAGTTTGTGAAGGAGAATTGAAACAAACAAATCATTTGCGTATGTTACTTAATTGCTTAACAAAAGGTTAGTAACAAATTCATATATAATTTATATTATTTTTTATATATATTGATTTTTTGTTTAACATATTTAAAATTATAAATGAATGAATAGGTATGATACCAGATCATTGGAAAAAATATAAAGTACCTAGATCGGTTTCTTTGAATCATTGGATTGCAGATTTCAAGAGTCGTTTACAGCAACTTGAAGAGATAACAAAGGAGAGCGACTATGCTAGTTTAGAAGTATGGCTAGGTGGACTTTTTATGCCTGAGGCATACATTACAGCTACACGACAAGCAGTAGCACAAAAACACAAATGGTCACTTGAAGAATTAAGATTAGAATTTGATTTAAATACTGCAGGATCACCAGATTCATTCACAGTATCAGGTATTATTTATTTACCTAAATTAAGCATCTATTTTATTTAATATGTAATTATTTAATTTTTCTTAATTTTTTATTTTAGGCGTAAGACTTGCAGGAGCACAATATCAAAACAAACAAATTCAAATTGTAGCGAATCCGATGATCAAATTAGAATTATCACAAATTCGGTGGGTATTAAAGACGGAAGTAGCTGAAACTAATGAAAATACTGTCAATCTTCCTGTGTACCTTAACGAAGACAGAAGTGATTTATTGTTTGCTGTTAACGTTGATGCCAAACCTTCTGAAAAGAAAATGATTGCTCAGCGTGGCATTGCAGTAATTGTTTATTAAAAATTCATCCAATTTTTTTAACTAATAGATTTTTAATAGCTAATGTGTGTGTGATTATTATTTATTGCGAGCAGTAGTAGAAATATTTATTATTTATTTTTAATTAATTAATTAATTTTATGTGGACATTATTAGATTTTATTTAAAATTATTATTTTATGTTGAATAAAAATTTATAAAATTTATATAATTCGTGAGTTCCAGTGGCCGTGAGATTCACGTGAATATTCGATCTTAAAATAAAACTAGTGATTAGAATTTTATGAATTAGACATCTCATCAAGAGAATTCAAATGGTAGTTGTTTTTATCCAAAACAGGCAGATATTGACTGAGTTGTGGTAATTTCAGTTAATTTGACATGTTTTTTGTGGCGATAATGAATTTTGGAATATGACCGTCCCTCACGTGATTAAGCATGATTACGCGCGACATTAAAATTTAAAATTTAAACTTTTCAA